AATCTTTTCTATTCTGATCAATACTCCTCCTCTTCTTGTACATCCCTCTTCTTGTACATCCCAGTCCCAAGGGTAGGGAGCGGGAACGGATAAGTTAAGAATTTGCTCGTCCACCCACGCGGCAATGTCATCTATTGCCTCAGCAATCCCTGTTCTTCTCCTTTTGCGTTGATTTTCGTCGGATGCCGTATACTCTTCCACATTCTCCTCGGTCAATATGGCCTGAACTCTTTCCCATGGGTACCTCAGATGCCAGAGATAAAAACTTGGCTCTGCGGACACTGTGTGGTAATCCAGGCTGTGGATAACAAATCTACGCTCTTTCAGTCCATTGAAGAAGTTGTTGATGATAAGCTCGTCATTCGGCAGCGAGATTCGTTTTAGGTCGTGACCCGCGATGGTTATGACCACCTCCAGATTGCCCGCAGGCATCTCCAGTGGTACTATCCCATGGTCCCACATTGTCATAACCCAGTCGTCATCAGCCGGACAGCTTATCTGGAAAGTGGGAGAGAAGCTTGGCGATGGCATTCGATGCTCAAGATGACGATGGGGAAGCTCCTGATCTACCGCCACGGCTTCCTCTGTCGCTGCCGATTCGTCTGCGGCATTTGTAGCCTGATTGATTCCATTCCCACCCCAAAGGTAACGAAAGAAGGTCTGGAATTGTGACCGTCGGAAGAACACACCTGTAACCTGTGGGGACTCCCAGGGCTGCCACAGTCTGTCCCCTTCAAGGGCGAAGCGATCCGCATCGACCGTATCAGCGTATGGGATACCGCAACGTCGGTTCACTGCATCATCCTGTTGGGTGCTGCCAAGGCCCTCCGGAATTTGGGGAGTTGGCAGGGACGCTCGTCTGGGCACAAACTCGGCTATGGCCGGGATCTGAAATCCGTGTTGGTCAGCCAGCCAGAAGAAGTGGCGCCACAACGCCATTCGGTCTATCGATGTCGAGCAATTCGGGACAGGATAGGAGCTACACGCTTTCTTCCTCTTATGCGGCTGACGACGTGCAACCTCGGTCATGTCAAGCCCGTATTGGAAGCTGAAGCGCCAGAGCTCGTGCAA